TTTTACCCCTAAGTAAGGTCATATCTATTTGTTACCTTTCTTACGACTCAAGCTTCCGGCTTGGCAGCCAGCGCGACAGAGCACAGTCGTGCCACTAGTCCATGGATCTGTAGTAGAGTGGACACTCCGTCAGCAATGCACATGTGCGTGGCTCCAATGAGCTTGATGAACTCCAGCTTGAGCTTCTCGTCCTCCATCGGCAGCGCCTTGCACACTCTGAAGATCGTTCCGATGATATCCAGCGACGAGTATCCACTCTTCCAGAGCTCGACCGCTTGTTTCTCCGCTCCATCTAGTTCTCCCTTGGCACAGTGATTCAGGATCTCCCTCACCACAGCGGGATGGGGCTGATCACAGACCTTGAACACGTTCTCGTCGCTAACAAAGCCGAAGCCACTCGCTGTGGCCTGAAGGTTGTTGAGCGCATTGCGCATGTCTCCCTCCGCTGTGAAGATGAGTGCAGCCAGTCCTTCCTCCTTGTATCCGACGTTCTCCTGTTGGCAGACAGTCAGTAGACGACGTAGCAGCATCTCGTCCGGCAGTCTAGTGAAACGCAGGATGGCGCAGCGACTCTGAATGGGCTCAATGATCTTGGTGGAGTTGTTGCAGGCCAATGCGAATCGCGTCGTTGCCGAGAAGATCTCCATAGTACGTCGTAGAGCCTGCTGGGCTGCAGCTGTCATTGAGTCGGCCTCGTCCAATATGACGATCTTGTGGCGTCCAGGGGGAAGTGTCACCTTCTGCTGCGCGAACATCTTGATCTTACTGCGTACCGTGTCGATACCGCGATCATCGGACGCATTGAGCTCCAGCACCGCCTGCTTCGTGCTGGCACCGAGCAACTCGCGCGCCAGACACAAAATGCTCGTTGTTTTACCAGTTCCTGGAGGGCCGGAGAGGATGAGATTCGTCATGTTACCCGCCTGTGCCATTGCCTGCAAACTCGCGATCGTGTCGCGGTTGCCTACCACATCTGCCAGCACGCGCGGGCGGTACTTCTCCACCCACGGCGCCTCGAAGTCGTCCGCCATCCTTTTTTTCTTTTTGGCGCGGAAATTGTGTGAAAAGGACTTTTGGATTCACAAATGGGACCGTTCGTTCTCGTTAAGGTATCGCAAAATCGAACAGTTCATTTTAAACAGTACCTAAATCGAATAGTTCGTTTTAACCGTACAAAGCGTATAATTGAATGTCCGATTATACAGTCTCTTGATAATGATGTGGTGTACATAATTCTCTGAAATCTATTTCAGAGTTTAGAGGTAAGGAAGGATGCCACTCGAGGTGCTAATTCGTCAAGTATTAAAGTCCCGTCTAAAGCGATACGCATTATTAGCATTATATAAATACATCAAGTAATTTAACTCTATGATATTTATTACAGAAACGAAACTGATAAATTGGCTGAATGTTGCCTGTGTCGTCCGGACCGAGTACCAATCATGTTACCCGAGGTTGCAAGAAGGTGACAGAGTTTCATTATTAGATATGTAACGGACTCTTCCAAAGAAAAGTCCTCTCCCGAGTAAAGCCCTCTTTTTCTAAATGCGGATAGTTTATATTTGGTCAATACAATTTTCAAGATAAACATTAGAAATGCGTAAATTTGTGGAAATTCTGTGTATTTGGATTCACACAATTTAATAAAGCCCGGGTAGTAATAGGCCGCATCCAATAATATGCCAACTCTACTGTATGCTACATTCGACATGAGTGACGATGCATCAGTCTACGCAACAAGCATCAAAAGATGCTAGAAGCAACTAGCAGATGCTGCGGCTGCGAATCAGGCGCAGGAGATGCGTCGTCATGTAACATCCTTAGGGTTGCTAACTCTCAGACCTTCCTTGGGCAAAGCACGACTTGTTTTTCTTTCTGTATTTATCCGTTTTGTTAAGATTGATACAGTATGCCCTGTTTTTATCACTTCGACAGAAATATATTACTACCATTCTAAGGAATCTTTGTTTCTCCGTCCCGCGTTACAATTATCTCCAGGATTACAATGGTGCCTCCGACTGCGGTAACGGCTTCGGTGAGCCCGTCGTGGCAAGGTTCGCCCGATCGCTCAGTCGGGTGTGGCGGCTAGGACGATTGCAGTCAGTAGAGTCAGTCATGACCGTGGCCTACTCGATGGCCTCACTGTAGTGACTGTAAGGATAAGCCCGATATTCTGAGGTGGGTGTTTTAGATCGGACATTCGTGCTGTACGTCAGCCGTGCCTAAGAGCGAGAAAACGTTATAAACACATGAACGGATCTGACCAACACAACAATGGCGGGAAGATTATAACACAAAAACACAGAAGCGAACCGGCCGGAGTGGCCCTTCTAGTCGCACAACGCCTGTAACGCAGGACTCACCACCACCCGTCTGCACCCCAAAAGTACCTCAAGAGTAGTTGAACGAAAGTAGCGATGAAGTAGCGTGTTCGGGAGTAACACTAATGTAGCGCCCCGGAAAGTAACTATATTTTACTGTTGCTTTCGCACGCGTCGCACATTTTAAACGTTCGATTTCAGCTACGGGAACGAGCCCAAAATCGCAGAGCTGGCGGGGCGTCCGGTAATCGCTGTAGTGTGATGCCAGTTCTCAGCACCTCCAAGCTGCCTCGCCAAACCATTCGTGCAAGCGAAGTGATCGAGTATATCTCTCCCCAATTTGTGTGGGGCGACCCGCGAAGTCATATGGCCGCCGGTGTCCTGGCCGTAGATGACGCTGCTGGTAATCCTCTCCCTCTTACCCTGGACAGTGTATATGCTAAAACAAAAGCTACAACGAAGAATAATAACAAGGTATTGGACAAACGTTCCGGGGTAAGAGAAGCGGGGGGGGGGGAATATTCCATCTAAGTCGGTAAGAATTGATCAATGTACCATAGCGCCTTCCGCGGTGTGGACGATTTCAGCGGCGAACAGGGCTTCTTGTCTACATTCACACGGACAAAGACCTCTTTAGTCGCGTGTTTCAGGGAGAGGTCGCGATTCCTCCCACACACACACCTCTCCCTCAGAGTACGTCCCTGCTGAAATCATACAGACAACATCTTCTCACGCTGATATGTATAGAACGTCCACAAGGGGCAGTGACCTCAGATCCACAAATACCAAGTACACAAGCACGACCTAAGCGCGCGCATCGTGGAACTCGTACAGCTTCCCGATCGCGAGGAGCGGTAGCGTACTTTATCTTGACATGGAAGCTTTAGACTCGTACCAATATCCTGACATGGAATACTGTGTGATAGATGTAACGCTGCCGTCGCATTCCGACAGCAACGGCAAATATAATTCTAAAGAAGATGATGTTGACGCTGACGAGGATCAAGCTGACACGGATAGTTCAGATGCTACAACCACCAACTCGTCCCGAGTATAGTACCCCCGCAATGCCAGCGAGGGGTTCTTCTCTTCGACTGGACCCCAACCTGTCTACCTCAACGGATGACCCATACCTGGGATCCGATTATGAAATGGTGTCAGAAGTGGGAGATGTGCTAGACGAGAATTCTTCTTCGTCGGATGAAGATCATGACCAGGAGGACGAGGCGTCACCAAGCAAGTTAGCAGCGGTTGCAACGGCTTTGGAACTCGAGGGATGTGTTGGAGGTAAGACAGTTATCTTGACATGGACGGACTACAGTCCAGACTAATCCTGCGTCTGTCCGTGTAAATGAATTACATGCTGACAGGATCAGTATATCGTTTCACATATATACTGGGATTATACGATTTTGTTTAGAATCGTCACCCTTGTATGATAAAGATCAGTTGCGTGAAATGTCAACACACGGCTGAAATGTGTTTACCGAAAACACGCTTGTCAAGGTGGATACAAGTGGAGATG